AATATTACTCGGTGAATCGATGAAGGATTATAAGGATTCGAGAAAAGTTAGATTTCTACGATTCGTCTCATTAAGACCGAACCTTGATAACTCGAAATTCAGAGGCTTTGTACGAAGGCACAATTACGTTCACTTTGTCGGAAAGTCTCAGTATTTTGAGCTTCCTCTTAGAACCCATTTTATTCGACATACGTAACCCCAGAAGTTAAAGACGCGAGAGATGATGGCAATTGTGCGTTCGACCGACGAAAAACGATTAGCTTCTATGGAATGCACGTGGTCGAAGGACAAAAAAGTTCAGATACGGCTTGTGTCGTCTTATGTTTTTCGTTTTACGTTATTCGAGACAATCCTAAACAGCTGGAGGCTTAGCTATAGGTACCATACACTACGTGCTGCAGAGGCTGCAGCGATAAAAGTTCGACTTACAGGGCTAAATTTACAGAGGACCTGTAGAAGTCTGACTATTCTAAACTCGAGTTACAGAAGTAATGTGTCTGGACACGTGGCAGATAATTCGAGTCAATGGAAATGTGACGGATGAAAAGAAAGAGAGAGAGTGCGTTTCGTCCCGGGACTACGGGTGGACTCGTCTGTAAGGCTATGCCCGGTAGTCCCTGCCTTAGACGTAGAGGGAGTCCCGCTAGGTGCGGTATTTGTATCAATCGCTCGTATATTCGACCGCTAGCGAGTTAGACAGACAGACTCGTTGTCGTCGTAGCCCTCTAGTGTTGGCGGTTGATACCCGCGGCTCGACCTGTCGGCGTCCTATTGGTACCGATCCGCCACATAAGTTTTATTTCGACTTCTGCAAGTTCTCGCAGAACGCAAGGAAATGGAGAAAATTGTAGTCTTATAGAGGTTTGAGTTATCCAGGTTCCATGGTAATTGGATGTGAAATTGAATATATGAAAATATTAACAGACTTGATATTTGATCATTCGATTTGAAGAAAGGCAGAGAATGTTCTAAGAAGCGTAAATGAAATTTAATCGAGGATCATAACTGATTTCGAGAGTCTTTTTCCTTGCGATTCTTACGATGTGCGACGCTAAAAAAAAGACGAATTTATAGCACTGGAAGCAGGAGTTGGAGGGGAGAAACGAAGAAGGCGACTATCAAAGATCTCTTGTCAGGCGACAATGTTGCAAAAATCAGCTCGATCGCTGCACTCAGTACAAGTGGACGCATCTTCGATTTATAGGCGCGTTCGGTTGAAAAATGTCGGACAAGAAAACTGAACAACGAATAAACATCAAGTTTTTTGTCTTTTGCATGAGATTGCATGTCTCGTGCGCGTGTTTTTGAATCAAAGAAGTCCACCACTTTTCGTCGACAAGAAATGTAAAAGCGAAAACGACGCTTCTCGATCTGCATCGCAGAAAATGATTTACAGAAATCGTTTTGAACGCTGACATACGATGGCGCATACGGCTGTGTGTCAAGTCGAAAGAGAACTACGTCGAGGCGATCTTAGTCGAATTTTTCTGAATTTCTTTAATAAAAGAAGGTACAGGCACAATCTCATTTTTTGTCGCACATTGTATGAAAAATATTCGACGTCAGTTAATAATTCAAACACTGCAGTCTGAAACAAAACAGGAAAGGCTTCCACCTTTCGATTTTCTATATTTCAATCTCTCATCCTCACCACAAGTACACTTGAAGCTCCATCACTAGCGAACACGGTTTCCTACACCCTTGGAACGACATATTCTCCGGTTTCTCCACGCAGACCCAATTAACTTCCACTTTTCCAACCCTATTTTCTCCGACGACACCTACCCAACCGCGTTTATCAACGGTATGAAACTCCCTCTCGTGATACCCCAGGACATTCTGAAAATCTCGTGCAAACGGCTAGAAATCTGACCAACGCCACGCGCGACTAGAAAAGATTCCAAAGAACCCACCTCGACTCTGTGAATGGGGATTCGTTTCTACCCTTCGCACGGTCTCCTTTTTATCCGCGCTTTTCAACTTGGAAAACGTCGTTATACACGATAAGTTTCGCGTTCGAGAGTCTCGTCGTTCCGGTTTCACCGATTTGACAGGTGAAAAGGGACGACGAGTAGGTTGTTCGTTTCGAACAGCCGATAATGACGTTGCATGGTCTTTCGTCGCGCGAATAACTCGATCTTCCGTGGGGAAACTAACGTCGACGCGTCTTTATCGCGCTGAATGGAAACTGCGTTCCGGGAAATTCATTTAAAACGAGCGTCGCGGAGAATCATGACGCCAAGTAAGATTCCCTGCGAGTTCGGTCTTTGGCGACGTTTAATGATTTCATGCTTCGCTGATAGCTCGTCTCTTTCGACGATTTTGTAAAAGCCACGAGAAGAGCAGGAAGCCGAAGGCTCAAAGCACGATCGTATAAGACGATGAAGTATGATAAGGATTCAGGCTTGTGATGACTCGCGGTGACAGGAATTTTAAAAGGATACACCGAATGGCGAAAGGTTAGAGGATGGAGAACATTTTCAATGGAGTGAATTTACTTGAGAAAATATGTCTTTACATGTGGTTCATTGCATCGTTGATCAAAATTTAATGGAATATTTTCTGAAAAATATTTGAACAAAGCCAGGCTCGAAAAGCGTTCGAATGAAGTTAGCTGAGAAAAAGGAAGAATCTTTCTAACCGATTCGTTCCACCTTCTCTTTTATGCTTATCTATTAGTCGAATGTTTTGGTAAGAAATCCAAAATTAGATTGAAGAGACGTATGAACGAAGCTAAATGAATTTATGTGGAGATTTTTAGTTCGATTCGTTGGAATATTTCTCGAAAGAACGCAAAGCTCCGGCTTAATTTCCAAAGCGCGAATACTCGTAGCCGACTTAATTACGCGAATCGTTAGGGAAACGATCGCAGACGAAGCGTTCTCAGGCTCCTAATGAAACTCTCATATAAACAACAAGACGATCCTTTTCCAAAAGGAAACGGTCTACCACCCACGGGTTTCTACAGTTTTAAGCCATCGTGCCGGTGTTCTATTTCATCCGTCGAAATTGTTTCCACCGTTTACGCGTGCGATGCAGGTTCGCGAGCCTCGTTATCACTAGTAACAGGTTATCATCTTAATTAGACTGTTAACAGGCAGAGGGGTCGTCTCTCGAGCAGAGATCGCGTTTCCGCGAAGCCAATCTCGGGTGCATGGTTTCCAGTGAGTCAACCGAGGACTCCGCCTCTGCGGCTTCAATTTCCAAGCGATCGTCTCGCCTTTGCCGGATGGATGAACGCGTTTCTGGCGACGTGGATCACGTCGGTGACCCGAGACCAGCGATCGAACTGTCTCGATTAGCTGGCCGGTAATATCAACCGATTAATGTTAACGATCAGACTGATTAATGTTAATGACCTAGATAGCGATTGAGAAATATGTAGAAGTATTCTGCGTATCTCCGGATAAACAGGAACCGACGAGCAATTAGAGCGCGCGATTGGAAAGTTCAGGTTCGACATAAACCTAATAGATAGCATTCCTTTTAGAAAGATAATTGCAAAGTAATTCTTGGATATTCTAACACTTTTTATGACATTTAAAATTATTTTTTTTTTGTTTCATATTATTTTGTCAAATTACGTACGATCCATTTTGTTTCGTTGAGATATACACCGTGACATTTCACAGACTTGGTTTCACGTTTGTATGAATTGGAATGAAATATTTCATTGCACGACATTATTCTGGGAAATCTCTACGTTCAGTTTCCGCAATATTTCTCTCTTGCAATTGTAAATTCTGAATGATTATATGCCGATAAATAAAGGTCTGACGTTGTCAAGAAGCACGATTCGTCATTCAGCGAGGGATAAATAAAAAGTATGAAATGTTCTATAAATTGCGGTTGAAGAATTGAAATTTTTAAAGAACCTATGAAACTGAAAATTGATTCGAGTTTAATCCTCGTCGTCGTGTTGCGCGAAGAGACAACGTGGATTTCCAGAAACGAAAATTTCCTGACCACGAAAGCCTAATTTCAGATTGGACAGACGGACGGATGACATTTGCATTTCCATCAGAAGTTCGAGATCCGGTTTCGTTGCATCGGCCCTCACGGACCGTCGACGGTCACTGATTAAATTGGAGAGTCGGGAAAATCAGTGCATCACGTCTGCCTTCGTTGAAATTAAGGGGAACTGAGCGCTGGCCGTATCGGAAACGCGTTTCGCCGCGATTAAGTGCACGTAGGTCTCGAAATGGAGGAAGAAGCTCGTGGAAAATGGTAATTGAATCGTATGGTAGAGAGGAGCACAAGATATACCAGATGAATAAATGCATATATTAAATGTTAGAAATAATCACATGGATCAGGTATATTCAAAGCAAATTTATATCAGACGAATATTTTCGAAAATGAATAGAAGTTCTTTCTTTTAAATTTTGCAGAAACTTCTACGAAAGAAAATATTTTAAAAGAAACTCAAAGAAATATTCCAAGGAAAGTATAAACAGATATCTCATTGCGAAAGGGAAAGATATTCTGTTAGGATAAATATTGGAAATAAATAAATTTCTGTAGAATATTTTCCACCTGCGACGCTTGTTATTCTAAGAATAAATTTGTCGGAGAAGAGTCAGGAACAGGGTTGCGGGCGTTTGATAGATCTCTCTTGGAGTTGGCCAGCGTTGTGTTATAACGAAGATACGGCCTGATACAACGAGTATGAACACTACCGATTCGACAATCAACATTAGACACTCGCGACACTAGTGATAATGGTCTTAGGTTCGATAGCGAATCCACGGTCAACGGGAGGGTAGGTATACTTGCTCTAACTCAAACGTGTACTACTCCCTTCGCCGATGAAATCTCGAAAAAGAATAAATTTTCGTCCCAATGACGCTACCGAGGCCAACTATGGTGGGGTGTCCAAGTACAAGATCCTCGGATCGACGTCGCTGTCGATTGGTCGATTTGAGACAAAAGCTGCCTGTCCGTTTGCACACATCTTAATTGCCGAAAAACCCAGGTTTTATAGCGGGGCCTCGGACTAATCAGACTTGTGCTGTGTACGTGCCTCAACATCAGGTATTCATTGTCCTAAGGAACCGTTTTACTGTCCGATACCTCTATGGGTAGTTCCTTTAATGAGGTCACCTTGAGTCCAAGTTTATTATCACAAATCGCAAACAAGTACAATTGGGCAGAATGACGGCAAATTGTTTAATTACAACTGTAAACTTTAATTACGATTTTACGGATTTTTCCGGAGTTCCAGGGGAAGGTCCGGTGTCCTTCCATCTCCGACAAATTTATATTCCAAACGCTTTGTACCAAATTTCTTACAGAACACCTCACAGTAACTGAAACCGGAGCAATAACGAAACTCGTAATATTAAGTTGTCCGGAAAGTGTCTTTCTTCCGTCTTTTACAACAGTGCATCTTTGTACATACGTGAAACCAAGTCTGTGAAATGTCACAGCGTTTATCTCGACAAAACAAAATGGATCGTACGTAATTCGACGAAATAATATAAAACAAAAGAACATTGTGCGTCTATTATTTCGTCATAAAACGAAAGAAACTTTTCAGACAACCTAATATAATATAAAACTCCCAGATTTCTAAAACTTAAAACCTCTGACTCTCGACAAGATCGTTAAAGAAATATCAAGTACACGACAATTCCTACAAACCTTAAGATTGCAAAACGTCTGAAAATTTGTGAAATCGTTACAAGAAATGTATTGGATCAGGTAACAGAGAACAAAGATCATTCCCAGGCTGACAGGCAGCATCTTTCACCAGACGACAAACAAATAGTCAGTCGTAAAAACAGTCTCAGTGGGTTAATACGGTGTCGCTGGACCGGTTCCAAAGGGCGAGTGTGATGCAAATGAGCTGGGACCCCCCACGAAACCCGTTAATGAGACGATTTAGCCACGAAATCGTGGAGCAACCTCGCGACCGGTGGAGATGCTGCATTAACGCGATATGACAGCGAGATAGATGTAACCCCTGTCGGAGTCGTGAAGGCGTGATGTTGCCACTGCCTCGACAAAAGGCGCAGCCGTGTTAAACGCGACATAAATCTTCCGTCCAATGGTCTCTCGTCTCTCTGACGAGAGTCGAACTAGTTTCCCAGTAGGTATATATACAAGTCTCTGAGATAAGTCTTGCGCGATTCTAACGACTCTGAAGGGACGTTGGGACTGTGGAAGCTTTGTGTTATACGGAAAGAAAAAGGAACACGTGGAAAGGGGATGAAGAGAAACTTGAATCGTTCGATAAGCATTATGTTGATCTGATATTATTTCTGACGTTATCGTGGAAATATATTTGCGTTGATTCTTCAACGTACACACAATAGATATTTTAAGTATATTTTCGAATTCTCTAATTTATAAGCAATTCATTCTTTTCAACGGTGGGAATGATCGATTCATATAGTTGACATTTACAACTCGTACTATGATGTCGAAGATTTCATGCGGATCCCAATATGGTTCGTTTACAATTCCTTATCTCGAGATTATGTCCTTTCAATAATTTGTTCATTCTTTTGTCTTTCGAAACTAAAGCTATACGCAAAACAGATATATAGCAAAGATTCTTTCTTTCGTTTAAAAGGAACGATTCACGCAAGAAAAGCTATAATATTTGGCATATTTCTTCATAATGATAATATGCTGCATATTCATATTACAATCTGAATTTCAGATCTTCTAAGATTAAGTTCCTTCGTTCTTCTGTTGCAGCGTTGCAGTAAAAATAACCACGTGTCTAATAAACCAGTTACCTCTATCTCAACCAAAAAGAATTAAATTAATAAATTTAATAAATTTAATAAAAATTTAATAAATTCCCAAACGCGAGTGGTTTTCTTCGTTTACAGCAATATTCGATCAGCTACCATGATATTGCTATGAAACTACATTTAGGTGCACGTGTCGCGACATTTCCATCAAAATTCGGCGTCGACGATAACGCCGGCCTAGGAAAGGGGAGCGTCGTAAAGGGACGAAGAGGAAGGGCGTTTCGATCGGGCGAGACGGATCTCGCGAAAGTTTCCACCGGAAACCGAGAGACAGCGCGGCCGGAACAAGAACACGAGGAAAGAGAAGAGAATCGTTGCTGCGAGCCTCAACCGTCGCCGACGAAATTATATGCGGAATCCGTTCCCTATGGAAACGGGTTTCTATGGGCTCGTGCGAAATACCGGGTGTCTTGACAAGAGCAATTTATCATGCTCGATCTGTATTTGCATACGTCGTCAAAGGTCCCCGTCGCTTATGCCGGGGACATCGCGTAGTCGAGTGTCTTTTGAAATTCGCGTGTTTGCGAATACTCCTCCCCGCTTTACCCCTCTTTACCCCTCTGTATCTCCGCATCTCTTTATTTCACTACGCTTCCGCGTTCTCCCTCTATGTCACCACCGTCACCCTCTTCGTTGCGGAAAACGTCCTCTCCATCGAACGTATTACGAATTTTCTATCGTTCTACTTAATTTCGTTTCCCTTATCTCGACTAATAGGGTTTTAACTGATACGCGAACGTTACATCGAATCCGCTGTCTTACACGCGAAAGCCACCGGTGAAAAATCGATGATTAGCCATTTACGAAAAAGAACGCTAAATTTCTGTAAATTCATACTTCGATGGAAATAATTTGAAAAATGCAACCCACATGGAAAATTGTTGCACGTGTTAAATATTATAAACGGTACTGTACTTTGAACTAACCACAGTTTTATACAGGGTGGTCTTCAATATCCTTCCTTATAAACACACGCTAGAAATACATCAACCCTGAACAGTGGAACGTATCATCCTGCGCAGATTCACGGACCACCCTTTTCGTTTTGACGCGAAGCTCACGCGGTTTAAGAGAGTGAAAAGACTGGCCAGCCACGATGATCCCTCGTCGCTCTGCGAGATCAGGTTCCTCGACTACGATCGGTTCTCGTAACGAGTTCATATCTTGCGCATCGTCTGCCTCGAACAGAGGCAAAGCCCGTTCCCAAAACAGGCAACGAATCACGATGTTTCGCGATTCTTTCGAAACTGCACACCTGACGATCCACAAGGGGAAGAAGGGTCTTTGACGATTCAAATACGCGATCATCGAGCCTAGATATATCGCAGAATGTTCTGACCAACGAAACGAGTCGCAGCAGAGTTTGAGCGTAATAGAGATGTCGAGTGCAAAGAGCGAACACGATCATCGACCGATGAAAAAAGGATCGGGACGCGCTCTGATTTTAGGGGAATTTTTAAGCTGTTTCTAAATGGTCACAGCAAATTATAGTATGCTATACGAAAATATCATAAAGCTTTGTGATCGTTGGACTGTGTATTCTTATGCGTTTATGGGAAAATCGAAGATGCACGGAATACACGTGATACGCAAAGATATACAGGGTGGGAAGGGGGTGATTCTACGCGAAAAAAGAAGTCGATTTTCTCGAAAACAAAGCCTCAAACGAAATATTTTTATTCTATATTTTCGACTTCTTTTTTCGCGTAGAATCACCCCCTTCCCACCCTGTATATCTTTGCGTATCACGTGTATTCCGTGCATCTTCGATTTTCCCATAAACGCATAAGAATACACAGTCCAACGATCACAAAGCTTTATGATATTTTCGTATAGCATACTATAATTTGCTGTGACCATTTAGAAACAGCTTAAAAATTCCCCTAAAATCAGAGCGCGTCCCGATCCTTTTTTCATCGGTCGATGATCGTGTTCGCTCTTTGCACTCGACATCTCTATTACGCTCAAACTCTGCTGCGACTCGTTTCGTTGGTCAGAACATTCTGCGATATATCTAGGCTCGATGATCGCGTATTTGAATCGTCAAAGACCCTTCTTCCCCTTGTGGATCGTCAGGTGTGCAGTTTCGAAAGAATCGCGAAACATCGTGATTCGTTGCCTGTTTTGGGAACGGGCTTTGCCTCTGTTCGAGGCAGACGATGCGCAAGATATGAACTCGTTACGAGAACCGATCGTAGTCGAGGAACCTGATCTCGCAGAGCGACGAGGGATCATCGTGGCTGGCCAGTCTTTTCACTCTCTTAAACCGCGTGAGCTTCGCGTCAAAACGAAAAGGGTGGTCCGTGAATCTGCGCAGGATGATACGTTCCACTGTTCAGGGTTGATGTATTTCTAGCGTGTGTTTATAAGGAAGGATATTGAATTAAAAGCAACGTAAATTCGAGGAGATTAGATCTTTCGCTTACGATGGTTATTGCCGTGTAATGTTGCGTGTAATGCTTTCCGAGTTGAAAGGCGGTTGAGATGTAATTGCTTTAAATTATATAGTAAACAGGAGAAACCATCAGACCCATAAAAATGACAAATTTCAAGTTCTCTGCTTTTACAATTTTCTAATATCCAGGTAATTTTGGTGAAATTAATTTCAACTTTTATTGAGATGGAAATATGATTAACGCGTACCTCATCGTATTACTTTGATTATTATCATTTACATATAGTACGTACATTATCGACTGTAAGTATGTAAGTACCGATTCAATACGTTTCACGATTTTTATTTCCTAGACATCTTATTATAAACATATTATCGCAGTATATAATTACAGTGGTTGCGTGATCCTTTGCAAGTGTATGCATTTCGATCTTCGGATGTTTCATTTACCAGAACACGTAACGCTGTAATCTTAAAAGCTAAATAAAGCAAAATTTGACGTTTTCCCAGTAAACATAATTAGTAAATATCCTAATACCTATAACGCGCGATATACAACACAATATACGTTCAAGTGCCAATCGAAGATCAATAGTATTATTATCGAACAAGATATTTCTGCACGAAACTCATCTTTTAAAACACGTGCATTTAATAATAAATCGTTGCGAATCTCGCCGAAGAAACAGGATATTCAGCAGCGAAGCCGTCCTTAATAGCGAGATATTGGACATAACAAATCGTCGTGGGACGGTCGGGAGCCGCCATTAATCTTCGATCACCGTTGGCTAGACCTTCAATGGTGGCCACGTTGCACGAAGGATCTTCATTCGTGCACCCTGCAACCTTTCGCTGACCAGTGTCCAGTTTCGTTTCCCATTCAAGTACCTCGAACGAATCGGGATTACGATTGTCACGCCTCTCGTCGCTCGAGAGAACGTGCTGCACAGTCCTCGATACAGATAAGTCATGGCTCGCCGTTTTTCTCCTTTTATTTCATTCTTTTAGAACGAGATGACGAGACCCTCTCAACGGACATCAGCGTCGCTAATCTCGCGGGACAATTACTCATTTACATGCTGTCCTCGCTGTGCTGGACTTCTTCCGACATTTCTGCCTGCTGAAACGATTCAACGACTTGTCTGGAATGTCATCCGAGTTGATGGAACTGCGAGATTCGTGTATAACGAGATCGGTCTTTCGAGCTTCGGCACGTACTGATTTCTGACGTTCGAGTTGTTCGATTCTCGTTACTCCTTCAGAAAAATGTTCTTCTTGTTCTTATTGTAAATCGTTCCCATGGCTGTCGTCTACGTTCGGAATACAATCGGTCTCTGGTCACCCCTTGCTTCCTAATACCTCGTAAGATTCGCCGGACGAATTTCAAGATCAAAATGTGAGAAACACGAGTTATATTCATGGTACGTATTACACGCCATAAGCACGTACACGTTCAAACTATGGCTCGGTTAATTAAATTATTGTTTCTGTCCTGACGTGCGAAAAATTTCGTCGAGATAACGTCTAGAAGATTCTCGTGCCATGTATGTGATCGGTGATTACAAAGGAATTCGCGAGACCAGAGCTAATTCCTTTATCACGCTAGTAACTTAATGTAAAAATACAATTTATCAAGGGTTTCGCGATAAACGCTTACAATCGCACAAATTCTAAATCTTCCGTAACAGATATGTCTTTCGTTCGAAATACTTTTATGTCAGAATCAAACGAAGAATACAAAAAACTAAAAATCTTCCTCCTCAAATCGCCTAATAAATTCGTTTGATTAAAACCCAACTTCGCCCTATTTCCTATAACGGCCAATGCCTATCTGTTTAGCATTCATCAGGAAACAATTGAGCCCGAAGGCACATTAATCCTCCAGACATCAGCTAGCCTCTCTTCTCGCCCAATGGCCCTGACGAAACTCTCAAGCACCGTTTAAACGTCGCGAAATTCGAGCAGTCATTACTCAACACGAACCCTGTATATTTCGGGCCGGTCAGCTTACCGACGACGAAACGAACCCCCGTCGTCGGTCACGCCTCCCTTCAAGGCCGGTGGTTCGTCTCGCGAGTCCTCGATACAGATAAGTCATGCTCGTCATTTTTCATTGTCCGCTTTCAACGGTCGAGCAACCGGGACGAGACCTCGCTGACAGACAGAGACGGCGATGGTTAACGCGTCTAACTGGACTTTTCCACGGGCGCGAGTTTTATCTCGCGCTTCCACCCCTTAATTTGATTAATCGTGAAGGATCTTGACCCTCCTGTTCGGCATTAATCACCTTCCGGCCGTATGCATACATGGCCGCGGCATTAAAGCGGCCGAGCTGGACGTGAATGAGAACCGACTGCCATTTGTTACGCGACCGCTTGTTTAGAGAAGCTTTACACACTCGACCGGCTTGCTCTTTCGTGCCCGAGCGGATATTAATGGCAGATTAATTCGGCGATCCTTGTGAAAGACTCGCACCGGCGAAGACGATCGGCTTTTCGAACCTGCGCTGCCTTCGTCTTTCGTTCTTCTCTTTCTTTCCCTTTTTTTCTTGTTGTTCGGTTTGAGGTCACGAGGTCGAGGGGCAAAGATGATTCTTTCGCGGATGGACTGTTTCGTTTCTGGTTTCTCATTCTCCAGGGATGAATATATTTCCTTGCAAGTTAATTTCGTGATTTATCGGAGAGAATACAGGGACAGGTATAAACGCATACTGCCAAACTGAGAATTCGTTTAAAGAGTATTCGAGCGAATAACAGTTATGCGAATGGAAGTCATAGTAGCGGAATCGGTGATACACACGTATTAAAATAGAAGAACAAAGTTTACATTTTCCACGATTCGTTTAGTTTCTTGGTTTTATCCATTTCAACTTCGAGTAGGAGTCACGTTGAAATTGACTAAGGAAAGTTTGGTGTTTTGTGTCGGTAGATGGATCAGGTACTAAACTTTCGTTCTGGTTTCGAGTTCTATTCGAGTCCCTTCAGCACAAAGGTTAAAGTTGTTGATTTACTGGCTGTTTATACCCTTTGCAACCCTAACTTCTGCATTATAACCGTATTTATACTAATAGCGCTGCCTTCACCAACGTTTACTGGCCCGACCGTCATTTAATATCTCCGTTTGACGTAACAAAAAAGTGGGGTAAGAAGGTTACAGTGTAAAATGTCGATCGTAAAATTTCGACTCCAGTGACGCTGAACAAAATCCCGCCTCTCGAAAAGCAAACCCGATCTGTTACCCTCTTTCGGTTTACCCCTTGTAACTTCCTGTGCTTTGAAGTGACACAGTAACAATTACGTGTTTGCAACGTAAAATCGTGAAACATGAAATATAAATATGACGGTGATTGCGTGAACGCAGAGACGCAAATTATATACCCGGTAATGTGGTTTGCAAGTCCGCGTGAAAATACATCGATATATCGTCAGAGTTCAAGAACGACCCATTAAAAACATGAGCGTTCTGTCTGGTCTACGAGCCTAATGCGAATGATGCGTAGAATGGACAATTCAGTTACCAAGAAACAGTCGTAGAAAACACAGATTTATTCACATTGAAGATAAAGTTATTTAGTAAAATCACTTTGTAAATTAAATCCAACACGAAGCATCGCAAAGCCAGCTTATCTAACATTACGCATTGCGATGCTATAACTTATAAATAAATTGTGAGTCTTCGTGCAATTAAGCTTTAAACTTGATGTACAGTAGCTACATAGACAAATTTAAAGATGTATAGTTGCACGGATGATAAGTATTGCAGAAATATTCAAATACAAATATATAAAATATCCAAACTATTCGCTGCGGTATTCGACAGGCGAAACAGATTTCTGCCACAAAGTTCTACTCTTCCAATTCCATGCATAGAAATATCAACATTTCGCGAATATCCTATCTATGAACAATTAAAGAAAACTCATGGAAACTTGTACTCCCATAATACGAACACCAAGACACCTGATACCACCGAAACGTAAATCCTTGTTCATAGCTCGAACCATCCCCGAGACCCGGCCGTCACGAACGATCCTCGAGATCCTCACGTGACGTAAGACGTACGCTATGGAGCAGGTGGCGTCATTAAGGGTGGAAATTCTGGTAAATTCCGATTGGGAAATTCGTGGCAGGAGATTCAGGGTGAAATTGCAACGGTGCAGTAGAGGCAGCTTCCTCTCGTTGGTATCGTCGTCCGCCTGCAGGCAGCAGAGAGTTCAGGGAGAGAACTGCAACCGGGTAAACCAGCTTCGCCGCGTTATAGGCCGTCCCCAGAGTGCAACTATGCCTTTGGCTTTGATGTTAGCCCGCCGGTGGAGTCGCGTGATGGCGAGCTGCCGTTCCACAGCGACTAATAGGTGAAACGTTCCTGCATGTACTCGCACATGTACACGCAAGGTTATGCACGAAGGGATGGCGCAGCATTATCGGGAAGGGAGAGTCGAAGCCGGATGGAAGCGCGAATCGAAGGCTGACCGCCAGGAGGTAGCTTCGACTGGCACCGGGTTAACGGAGAGAGGATCGACAGGATTCGGATGCTCCGTGGATGCCTTACGGCTAGCCGGACACGTATCCACTGATTCGGCATATCGCGAAATGCAATTATCGTGGTGAATTGGACGGACTCGAATTACTGGCCACCCGTGACGACCGACTGCCATTCCAGATTACTGCCGATACTCGCTTTCCACGTTTCGATATTTTTATGTGTCTTTTTTCCAACGGATTTCCAGACTGAAGAATGTTAGGGATATTGGTAGTGCCATATGTTTGAGGTCAATGGTTACTGGTTGCTTTTAATACTTGGACAAAGAGAAGGGTAATTGGAGATCGAAGTGATTTTGGCAGCATTAGTTTGTGACACGAAACTGTAATTTCTGACAACGATAGGATAGAGATTGTTAATAGCTTCCGTTTGCAAATTTCGAGGCAACAGATCCTACAAGCATCAGTTTGTGATACCAAATTGCAACTTTTAGGAAGGAAGTGATCGTTAGTGTAGCTGAAGGTAGTTGGATAGCTGTAGGATACTGTTGCGGGTATTAGTTTGTGGTATTTTCGTAGTTTTTGCTTATGCGAGGGTAAAAGTAGTTATGGCAGCTGGAAATTACTTCTTTCTGGCAAGTGTTCTTCCAATGATTGGCTTGTGATCTTTTCTTAACCCTTGGAAGAGAAAGAAATAAAGGAAGTTGAACTACTTGAAAAATAATTATTCTTGCGGTTGTTGGTCGATGATCTTTTTTTACGAGTGTTCATACAACGATTCAACAGAGCGGAACAAGCGATTGAGTCATTAGACGATAGTCGAGAGGAAGTCGGTAAATCAGGAGGCCCTCGAAGGACGTCTATGGCGATGGAGGAGACAGTGTGCGTGGAGGTAGACGAGCAAGGAGCCAGAATCTCCAGTAACAGGATGTAATTATGATCGGTGAGATACGTCACGCGTAACCCCCGTATTGACGTCCACAAATCACGATACACGGTCGGTATCTCGCCGGCTCCGAGCTCGAGCCTCGAACTCGGACAGCCTTAACGCGGACACTAAATCCAACATTATGTACGTGCCCTATACGAACCGATCCCCCAGTCGTACAAACCGACGTCCTGACGTCGAAAAACCTTCGAATGTTTAGTGAATGATTTTTGATACACTTTTCGCGTTATATATCTTTAAAGTATGATTTCGCGTAGATTCTGTCACGAAGAATACGAAAAGTAAGAATCAAGGAAGTTCCAAATTCTATACTTCGTATAAGATTTTTAATTTATCAGTTAGATGTGTGGAAAATTTACGGGCCAATGAAATTTTACAAGTTACGAACTATTCGATTATCCCAGTTTCTCTCACGATCACGCGTAATTTATTGGATTAATATTACCAGTTAGTAAATTATTGCGTCAGATTGCTCTGAGACTCGCTGGAGAAATTAGCAAGTGCTAATTGTCTTAGTTAATACACGTATGCTAACATTTTCTCGTTTTTCAAGATATGTTGGAATATTAGAAAAACGAAGATGGAATAAAGAAATCGTTAAACTTTGGTTTCATTCGGTTTAGAGATGGTAGATAGAATATCTTAATTAAGTACACTGAGTATAGCAACGGCCAGTTAACGAAGATTCTGATCGGTTAACGCGACGCTACCGCATTGTACCTTTTAATTATCAAAAACTATAGTATAACTAATAGCATAATATTTAAATGTTTACTAGAACTCGTGAGTGGACACGGTGTCACGTAACATGGGGAAACATTAGCACTCTACTGCTCCCCGATGCATTGTTTGTAACCAAACCGCGTTCTGCGGAACGTCATAGAGACGCGGCTTAATCTAATCGAAATGCACTGGCAGCGTAATGCATCACCGCTTAATTTAACCCGTTCTGTTTAACGACTACGCTTCGTTAAAATTAGATACACTAACCACCGTTAGTCCCG